CTGCGGTTGTCATACTAAATATTAAATAAGCAGCTCTGGAAGCAGTGATTTAAGCAGCCTGTGTGAAAACTGCCTCCAGGAGGAGGATAAATCCAACCCTGCACACAGATCCTCGCTCTCAAAAGGAATTGATTTAGCCTGTTGATCACTTGACGTTTATCTGTAGTAGGGATTTGGTTGACTTGAAAGATTGTGTTTTGATAAAGTGGAAACTGCCCACATGACTGTTATTCAGCTGAAGAGGGGGACTGTCTTTCTCTCTCCCTTTCTCCTTCTCTCTTCTTTCTCTTTATTTTCCTTTACTTCTCAAATCCTCTGTCTCTCCCCCTTCATCTTCTCTTCCTTCTCTTCCCCACTCGCTCCCTGACCCTCCTGTTTTCTGACTCGTCCTCCCCCTCCTCCTCCCCCTCCTCCTCCTCCTCTTCTTGCTTCTCTCTCTTCTTTGTTATCTTTCCTCAAATTCTCTTTTCTTTTGCCTTCACCCCTCCAGTAGTCAGTAGTCATTGTCTTTCTGTGTGTGTGTATGTTAGTCCTTCTTAGGAGCTGGAGGTCACCTACTCCTGATTCTTAAAATGAGGCACAAGATTGCTAATATTAAAGTGAGATAAGCAAAAAGTCATTCCAATGATGATCAGCAGGAACATTTCAAAATGGTTTCAGAAGAGGGCAAGAGATGTATTCAAAAACTAAATCTAGAAAAACACGAACAGGTTAAAATACTGCTTTCTAATTCCTGTTGTATGGGATGTGTGATTACCAGAAAGCAAATCGCTCATGTCTTCCAAGCATCACCATCCTGAGGATACCAGAACTCTCCTTTTTACCTGGAAAACATCACAAAAGCCCAGTAGAAAGCCTAATGTTAAAGATTCAGGTCTTTTTTTTTTTTTTTTTTTTACATGAAACATTGCTTCCAATGACAAAGCTCCCAAGCTTGGCCACAGATCCATTTTCCACCAACAGTGTTACTGATTGAGTATCTCAGTGGAGTCCAGACATGGGACCCTCAGACCTGCAAGAAGAGTAGCTTGAGAAGGGTGAGGGTTCTGGACCCAAAGAAGAAATTGGACTAATAGCTACCAGGCTTTCCTGGCCTTGAGAGTCCTGGCAGTAGCACCTTCCATGCCTTGAAGCCACCCCTTCTCTGGTGGGGGCGGGGGGATTGAAGAGCCACTTCACACATAGACTACCACCCACAGGATGGGATTAATTAAAGACTAGAAACACAGTAGCGTTCCAGGTATTTTTCTAGCCCAAGAGCAGCCATGAGCTCACTGAGGGCGTTCAGAGCAGTCTCCAGCTTTAGCCTGTTTCCCTCTGGAGGCATTTTTTTAACGTTCCATTCATGGCCAATGAATTTAGGCAGTCCCAGGTGAAATGATCAAAGGACAGCTGGTTACACTACTTAGCCAGCAATCATTATGAGGGCTTCAGGGCTAAAACTCGCATTTGCTGTACTTTATATTTGTAAATGGCTGGTTCTGGACCTTGGTAAATTCCATTCCATGTTTTCTGGTGCTGTGAAAAATAAGTCAACTTAATTGTGTTTTATCTGCTCTGATTGCTGTAGTTTCTTCAGTCTATTCCCTCTCATAAGCCTTACACACTGCTCCAGAGTCCACAGTGAGCTCAGTTGTTGCTAAAATTCCTTCTTGGCTACAGATCCATTGCTCGTTCACACAATGAACGAGTAAGTCCTTCTCTCTCCTCCCTTGGTTCCTACAGCAAAGCAAGGTACTATTTCACCAAATTGCAGTTTGGAAAATCAGAGAGTTTATTGGACTGACTTACAGAACAGTGGGTGAGGGGTTACTTACAGGAGTGTGGGTGTTCCCCTCCTAAGGCTGCACTGGAAAGTCTCCATTGAGGCATGGATCATAACTTCCCGGCTTCTTCCACTTACATACCTTTAGTCCATCCCTCATCATGCAACTAGGACCAACTGGTTGGTTGGGAGGTATGGCTGACTCTCCCTGAAACTCCTTCTTTGACTGTGATGATCCTAGGCCAGTTGGTGTAACCAAGCGTGGGAAAAAGGCATCCAATGTCATGGTCTTTCTTTCAGGGGACAGTTCTATACAACATAAGGCTCCACACAGGAGCCCTGGAGCCAAGTCTGATGATCTTACACCGGTTCATGGAAGCGGAAACCAAGCACTTGTCTCGGTCTATCACATCCCCTTGTGACTAAATCCAGAGCAGCAAACTGTCCTGACCTCATGTCTATCCTGATGGCATTCAATGATCATTAACATTTTACCTTCTCATCACTACTGTCCTCCCTTCTTCCAAAAAAAGGTCATGTCCTTCTAGAACTGATAAGGGACTGCTTATCAGTTACTTAAAGTTATGAGACCATCAACAAGATAACTATATTTTAACCACCACAGAAATATCCGATCTAAGTCCTTCTTTGTACACCTCTGTTCTGCCAAGATTTCCCTGCATCCCTTGTCTGGTTCCCACATTCCCTCTCTAAGCTGGTTTCCTCACTGGTCCAAGCATGTTGGCTCAGCCCTCTCAGCTTCCTCCCCAGACGGACATCTTTTTTCTTCTGTGCAACAATGCGAGAACTGGGTCCACACTCAGATTCTCCGTTGCTCTGGCAGCGACCTTGAGAGAGCTGCAGCCTCAAGCAGCTTGTCCTTCCTGTGTGCAGCATGAAGGCAGCCAGCATCTGAGACCCACGCCGCTCAGACATTCTGTGTGAGCTGTGCTGCTTCAGTCTCTGGCTCATTAAGGAGCCTTTCCTATGTACTTTGCCCTGTCAGAGGGTCAGTGTGAATGTAATGGAAAGAGATGAAGTCTGCCAAATTGATGTGATTATGTGAACGAGCAAAATGCATTAAGAGACACCCATCATTAATAATTTCAATATTTTATAACCATCGCAGTAGAAAAATGCTGATGGTGATCACGACAACTCCAAGGACTGGCACCGGGGAAGTTGCTGCAGCTCACAGCACTTCCCTACCTTCAAGATGGTTTTTATAAATTCAGTATCATTTGATCCGTGCAGCCTTTATCTGAGGTCAAAGGAGGAAGTGGTGATAGTTCAGTTTTACAGATACAGAAACTAAGGTTCAGAAAGAGGAAATGATTTGCCCAAAGTCACATTATGAAAAAAAGAGAAAGGGGGATGGGGGAAGAGATTGTCTTTTGATTTCAAGTCTGATAGTTCTAAAGAAAGCCACCCCGAAAGTGCAGGGGTTGTCTGGATCTAATAGCCGGGCATCTATATTCTCCTGCCTAAGCTTAAATGATTTCACAGAACATCCCCAGACAGGGCATATGAGGGAAATGATGGATCGTAACAAAGCTATATACCCACAAGAGAACACACAGGCACACACAGGAACATACAAACACACACACAACTTAGATCACGTCTGAACATTGACAAAAGCACATTCTCTAGACCACAAAGACCACACATCCTCTATCCCTTCTAATACCTATGACTATTGCCTCTCTGTTATCACCACCGTAGGGCTGTGCTGCTGTTTCCTTCTCTGGGGTAAGATTTATTGAGATACCCAATCATAAAATTACTTTCCTGTCCTGAAAACATTTAAAACAGATCTTGCTTCCCTAAACTCTTCTGAAAATATTCCGACATAAGGAATATTTATGACTTAACCCCATGTTAAGTCCTTTCTGGAAGCTTCTTATTGGGGTGCCCCATGTTTGTGATGTGCAGTCCTCTTCCCTGCAATGAGAAACAAACCAGACTTGCCCACCTGCAGGTGGACTTCTGGCAGTCTTTAGTTGGAAGGCACTGAGGACCCTTTCATTCCTACTAATTTTAAGTAGTAGTCTCTTGAAAAATTCCTAAAAGAAACGAAAAATATCAACATTGCAATCTCTTTGGCCTCGTTGGGAAGTTTATTTTTTTGGTCTAATTTGCTATAGGCATTTTTAGACCAAAAGATAAACACCTTTTGATCATAACTGGGTTTAGCAAAGATGATCTCAGCCCTGGATTATTCCTTTTTTTTTTTTTTTTTCGTCTTTTTGAGACAGGGTCTCCCTGTAGCCCCAGCTGGCCTAGAGCTCACTATGTAGACTAGGCTGGCCTTGAACTTGCAGAGATCTGCCTGCCTCTGCCTCCCAAGTGCTGGGACTAAAGGCATGTGCCACCACGCCTGGCTAGCCCTGAGTATTCTCATGCTTATATAGAGATCAGCTTTTAGGAGCTACCTGAAATGCAGATACGTGGGAAATGCCAACTCAGTTAGGTTTAGTGTCTCCTTTCAGAAATACCAACACATTAAACAGCCTCAGTTTCTGCGTAGCTGCTAAAGCTCTGCTGATTCATTAATAAACTGCTGACTTTGTGTAAGTCTTTCTTTCTTGGTCAGAATTACAGGTATGATGGGACCAGGTATGTTGTCTTACCTGTGTACCACTGTACACAGCCTATGTTCGAGAGGAGCATTTGTTGGGACACAAACTCTTGAATGTATTTTTTATTGACTGAATTCCTAGTATAAAGGATTCAACAACTTCTAGGGAAATTAATCACAGTATATTGTAGCCATTTTTATTATATATAATCTATGTACTGAAGAAGTAGATTTGTCTTAGTATCAAGTATAGCCCATAGATCAAGGGTACAAACAGATTGCAGATGAACTTAAACGAACTCTTTCTAATACTTAGCCAGAGATGGGAAATTCCTTGAAGAGATGGTGATCCTCTGAGCTTGACACATTTGATCACAAGTCCCCAGATGTTTGACACTTATTTGGGGGTTAGCTAAGGAAAATTCAAGATGGTTTCTAAAATTATAGCCCAGAAGTGGATGATTAAAAGCAATTGACAAGATGGGACTGAGTTAGGACTCTGGTTTTCACAGCCCGCTTCTCAAAACCAATCCACTTACCATTAAAGTCAAACACAATGTTGTCACGTGCATATGCCCTGTGAAAAGCTTTTGTGGTCAAATGCGATGAGACTAATATATTCTTCCTCTTTCTTTCTTTCTTTCTCCCTTTTAGGTCCAAAAGCTATAGAAGCATATGGCAAAAAGTTTGAAGTAAAAACTGTTTCTGGAAAATTGCTCTTTTCTGCAGATGACAATGAAGTGGTTGTGGGAGCCGAGAGATTAAGAGTTTTAGGTAAGGAAATTTTAATCATGTAATTGGCTGAATAGTACCTTCTATATTTTAAAGAAATAATGTCATAGTGCTGTGCACTGAATATTTGTGACCCTCTGAATACATATGTTGAAATTCTAACCACCTGATGTGTCAGTAGAGACTATACCTTGCCAGGAAATTAGTCCCTGAAGTTGGAGCTCTTATCAGTGAGGTGAGTGTCCTTTGAAGGAAGTGGTGCCTTGATCTTTCTCTCTCCCTCCCTCCCTCTTTTTCTTCCTCTCTCCATATCCTCCCTCCTCCTCTGTCTCTTTCTCCCTCTTCTCTCCCTTCATCTGTCTCCTTTGCTTCTTCTCCCCCTGCCAACGTATCAAAATACAATGAGAATTTGGCAATCTGTATCTAGAAATGAACCCCCCTCAGAACCCAACCAAGCTGACACCTGATCTTAAACTTCTAGCTTCCAAAACTATGAGAAATAAAGTGATGTTGGTTATAAGCCGTCTACTCTCTGGAGCTTCCTTATAGTCAAAACTAAAACAAATGGTGTATAAATAAGGCCAATTTCTTTGGCTCTTTTAAAGCAAAATTGTTTAACCCCCATAGAGCCTCATTTCCTGGAGAGCTTTTCTCACACCATAATGTCATTTTGATTCCTATTTCAGCAGTGACTTTGGGATTCCAGTGTGTGTTCATTTAAGGAAGTATTAAACATACTTTCAAAACATTCTTTCAAAGTAGACTGGTAGTCTTGTTTATGCATTTAGATTATATATGTGATGAAATAATTCCTCAACTTGGTTGCAAATGAAGAATAATCTGGGAAACTTTTAAAAAGTTAACATGTGTGGATCCAACCTAGAAATTGTGGTGGAAGCAGAATTCATTATTCAAAATACTACAGTATTCAAAATAAACTCAGAATAGTGCCTTGTACCTGTAATCCCACAGTTACAAGGCTGTGACAAGAGGATTGCTGTAAATTTGTAGCCAATCTGGTGTACAGAGTGAGTTCCAGGCCAGCTTGTGCTATAGAGTGAGTTTCTGTCTCAAATTAAATAAATAAATATCAAAAAATACAACCTTGCAGGGATTTTTAGGGCTCTTTTGGAATCTCTGAACTTGAGCACAATACTAGTGTATCTTCTAAATCTATCCAGGGAAATGGCCCAGCGTGGTGCCTTGAATCCTGGTACCAAAGCAGATCTGACTTCTAACTGTTGGTGTCACACACTCCTTGTTATCACTAAGCCATTTTCCCTTCTTCTCAACATACATACACACCCGCATACACACACACACACACACACACACACACACACTCCATTACCCTAACCTGTACCCTCCCATCCATTGTCCCTGACTCCCCTAGTCAGTCTTACTAGCTCAGTTGGGACCCTGTCTTTAGATCTTAATATATCATCACTCAGCAGTCAGAAGACATAAGTGACCATCCTTGGAGGCCAAGTGGAGGCAGGGATACGGTGTGCAGACTTAGTGAGGCAAGAGACCATCTGATCCCTGGTCAGTGTCCTGCCCATTGAGTGATCCAAACCAACTGCCTTTTTGTGTTTATAAAGTGAGAGCTACCTATGGAGCAACTTTTCAAGCAGTGCTTTCTTTTTATTTTATTTTTTTTAACAAAGCATAGGGTAGGGGTTTATTTACAGAAGAGTGGGGACCCCACATTTATGGCTTCACCCTAAAGTCCACACTCAAATACAGATCCTGTAACTCCCCCCACCCCTGACAGCTGCAAAAAATGGTGAGAGAGGTGCCCCTTGGTGTCCTTGGCTTATATATCCTTTGCCCCTCCCCCCACACGCAGCTAAGGTCAACTGATTGGGTGGGAGGGGTAACTGCCTCCCCCCAGACTCCTTGATGAGCATGGGAAGGAGGTGTGACTATAGCTTGTGGGCATAGTATTCGGAGGACATTCCCAGTTAACACTCCACCCCTTCTTCCGGCTCTTACATTCTTTCCACCAACCTCCTTCACAAAAGTCCCTGAGCCTTGGAGGTGGTGGTAGGTGTGGGATGATCTTCCTCCCGCTGTGGTAAGGCACTGAGCTTTCAGGTCTCTTCAAGCAGTGTTTTCTATGGCAGAAAATAAGAACAAAGTTTTATACATGAGTCCAATAAATAAAATAGACAAGAGACTAAAATTGCTTCAGAGTGTAGGTGAGGATTGAAAACAAGAGAGGTCAGACACTAGACTCTCACCTGAATAGTTACATTATTTCAGCTTCTATATTCTTTGTGAACCATGTAGAGCTCTTTTTTTCAGCCTCTTAAATAGATCATCTTTAAAAGTCTGTGGGCACATGCCACAGTCCCTGTACCGCATGTGCTGTGCATTGTCAAATCTGTGCCTCAACTATGCTTTGTGAGTTAGACAGCATCTTCTCATCCCTACTTTAGAGGTGACAGAATTGAACTGAGCCATGCACAAGGTAAGCATGGCCTGCTGTGTTGTCCACAGAGTTGCACCACTTTAAACACAGTCCTTTGCAAAATCCTCTCTTCCGGCCTTCTTTAAGATGAGGCAACTCAGGCTTGAAAAGCTGAAGAAACTTGCCTGAGATGACGTACCAGTAGTAGTTGGACCCATGTTTAACCCTTGCCCGAGGACTCCAAGATTTGTGCTCTCCAACACATACGAATGTGGTGAATACATTAGTTCAACAAGCTTTTCATCTCTCACAATTTATACTTATGTTAGTAGAAATGGCATTTCTACATTAATTGTAGGTTGAGATGGAAAAACAAATACAAAAGTTCAGAATCTGCTCTTATTTAAAAGTACTGTATACTACCAACTCTAATGTGGTTGTCCAGAGGAAGACAGGGTGGTGTCTCATGCTACAATAACTCAGTGCCCATGGTTTGGCCCCTTCCACTGGTTCCTTGGTACTTACTGAGTCATGCCAGTACATTAAAACCTGACTTTGCAAAGGAAAATATTCATAATAATATTAAATATCTAAATGACTTAATCTTATTGTACAGAACTTTGATATGGTGTAATTCATGAGCCCCACAGCTGCTGAGACTAAAAAATTGGGGAAGGGTGTTGAATTTTTTTCAGTCATTTCAAAGCAAATACACATCTTTGTTGTATTTGATGTTTTGCCCTAAGAACAGTTTAGAAAATCTGACTTTTTCTATCAATGGAGTGTTTCCTTGTTTATGTAAAAATTAGAAAGGATTCATCAAATAAATTCACCTGCTGTTACCAGTGCTGAAATGACTTGGAAATGGCCATCCCACAAATCTCACATCAACTACCCAGTGAAAAGAGCCCAGCATGCTGGAGACATGAGTTCCCTGTCAGCTGGGACTCAGCCATATGGTGTGGAATGAGATGTTGAGGCAGTTTCACTTTCAGCTTAATGAGAAGTTTGTCAGACAGCTTGAGCTCTAGGGAGGTTTGTATCTGGTGTGGCTGAGACTGAATCCTTGTTCGTCCTCTTAGGGTCAGAGTGGCCCTGTTGAAGGAGACTTTTCTCCCTAAGCTCCAGCTTGCACCTGTTTAAAGCAAAGAGAAAAGAACAGGATAAAAGATGGACGAGGCCACACTTCCTGGCACATGTTCATCATCCCAGCCCTCACTTGGGAGACAAAGGTAGAAGGATTGCAAGTCCCGGGCCAGCGGGGGATACATATTAATAGTAGGTACCTGGGCACCCTGGCCTACATAATGATACCCCGACTCAAAAGAAAGTTAGGGGGTAGAATATATAATAAGGAACATAAGTAAAAAGTTGTTTTTCTTTTCTATGATTCTGGCACTAGGAACCCCAGGCCTCATACATACTGTGCATGCACGATCCCACTTTTTACTTTTTTGGTCTTTTTGGTCTCCCTGTAGCCCCAGCTGGCCTGGAACTCACTATATAGACCAGGCTGGCCTTGAACTCACAGAGATCCACCTGCCTGGGATAGAGTCTCCCTAGGCTAACCAAGTATCATTGACCTTACCCTTCACGTGACTTAGTGTGGGCAGCCTCTCAGTTAACAGCCTCTCTCCCTTTGCATTTGCTTTGCCACTTTTTCTACTCTTCCTTTCTAAAGTATTTTATCTATGACTATAGGAAAGTCCTAGCATTAGAGAGAATGAAGGTTTATGCTGTGGAGTGGACCCTGGTTCCTCAAATGCACTGCTGGGAACTATAGGCTTCAGACACTGATCCTTAGGACCCAAGAGCCTATCAAAGAGTAGCATTTGGATAACCAAAGGCACCAGAGACACATCAGAATCCCCCTTCCTCCTCTGTGTTATCATTAGTTCTGTGGAGTGAGCAGTTTAAACAGGATCCCTGCTTCTATAGTTCTTCTGTGGCACCTCATCCCAAAGTTGGTTTATTATTTACAGGGACATAGGAATAATGTATGGGATCACAAAAATACATTTCCCATAAATAAGGTAGTAAGAAAGGCAAATATAAAAGAGTTTCAGATGAATAGACTCGACCTAATAAACCAGAGATTCTTAATGAGAAAAACTACGATTCTACAATAGGGAAATAATAAAGGGGTTTCCTTGGAAATGGTGCCGGGAGAATCACTCATAACTATCTAAAAATAACATTTTTAAAAAGCCGGTCTGGAAGCATAGGTGTAGCCCTGCTGATTTCATGCATGCAGATGCCCATGTGCCTGCACCTCCTGTGCTGTACTGTCTCAGCTTCTTCCCCAAGCTTGAGTTCATTCCGGATGCAGGAGGAAAAGGCGTTTGCTAAGCCCCTCTTAATTTCTCATTTGGCAACAGAGAGATGTGATTTAAGGCGGGCGTGATGGATTAGTGCTTCTGTGTAAATGTCCCCAGCTGTCCCCATAAGCAAGCATTGCCTTATGAGACCTCCCCACGGCTCAGCCATTGTCTCTGCTGCTGAGGGGAGGTGGTGGGCAGCTGGGAACGTTTGACTGCTTTCTACTTTGATTGAAGAGTTGGATGAGATTCACTACAGTCTTCTTTCAAGAGAACCAATTATAATACTTAACCAAGGGCAGGGGAAGTGT